TTTAGATACAATGAAATATATGAAGTTCATATATTTTGAACTGCGGTATTAGATACGTATGATGCACGATCCTCGCAGTAGATAGCGCTATTTAAGCAATAGCGAAAATCAGACCTGAAAAAAATCAGGCCTGTACGGGATTCGAACCACTGACCTCTGCGATACTAGTGCAGCGCTCTACCAATTGAGCTAACAAGCCAACTGGGAGCAGGCCGTTAAGTTGATTCGTAATAAACCCGTGAAAGTGATAAATCAGATACAATGAAATATATGAAGTTCGTTTACGAATTACAGGTTTATTACGAATCAACTTAACGGCCTGTGTGTTCACTTAGTATGCAAAGGGTAACTGATGAAAATTATTTGACTTAGCTTTAAATTCTTCATAACATTATTAGACAGCACCACGACAAAAGCGGAAAAATCAAATGACAACTTAATTGAGCGGTGTGCACTGATTCAAACGCCATCTAGTTCTTTTGTTTACCCGTGGTATACTGTTGAGCTTCAAACATATATTCCATTGCATCAGTTTATAGCAAAGCTGATTAAAATTTGAAGAGAGTGCCCAAGTCTAAACCTGGCAATATCTAGGAATGAGAGCTGAAATCGAGGACAGCAAACTGAATTGCCCTAAAATCTAAAGTGCATATTTACTTTGCAAGTGGTTTTCGTTCTCATCAGGAAAGGAGTTTTTCAGTAAATATCTACCGGTAAATGAAAATCCAGTTAGTTTGTCGCTACAAAGTTTCTTGAAGAATTAACATGCCAACGTTTCTTTCTCGGCGAACAGTTAGGGAGTTCCGTAGTCGAGAGTTCAAATAGCAAATTTTATAATTTTATAAAAGTAAAGTCTTTGTCGTCGTTTTAGGCATTCGAAGTGTTCTCTTCGTTTCCTCCAAACCAAAGGCCTTTCCCAATTTAAAATCTGGGAATTGACCCCGCTTGGGGCCATTTTACAAGACGGAAAGATGCTCTAGTTTTCTATGGGTATACAATAGATTTTTGGGGTGGTAATTTCTCAAAAACCGTGTTAGGTCCCAAACAGCACTTTGAATGGCACATAAGATGTATAATAGAATTTTGGTTTTGAAGTACGGCTCTTTCTGCTATTTTACATGTCAAAGATAGGGAAGTGCCAAAGCTAGCATTATTCCCTATTTCCGCTACTTAGTGAATAAGGGATCTGTCTTAACGACGAGTCAGTCGAGGTCTCAGTGCTCATTTCACTTGGATTTAGGATCCAAACCCTGCATACCAGCCATGTATGGCAACCATAGCAACACCAGGAAAGTCATACTGGTAAGACAACTATAAGAAAAATTCAAGGGCCTGCATTCACGAAAATGTAGAAAAGCGACGCCAAGAAAGGAAATCAATGCAAAACTAAGTTTAAGCTCACGCAATGATTTCCGTTCCCGGTCTTGCGTTTTTCCTTCTTTATTCCAAACTGTCAGAGGTTCTGAGTTATACTTCCACTTAGCAGTAGCAATAATGAGATTAAAAAAAGGGTGAAAATCTATATAAGTATTAACAAGGTAGGTTTTAAACAGAGACAAGACGAGTAATTTGCTTTAAATTGTTTCTCCGAGAGGCCAAGCTTCTATGTTCAACGCTTGGATAGAATAAAGAGATCTTTTGTCAAACTTTCTCAGTTATCGTTTATTTAACATGAGGGAAACATTGGGGTTTGCGATGTTGCGGTGTTGACCCTTTTTCAATGCGGTATTGTGTTGAAGAACAATTTGAATTAGTTAGGCGGAGTGTGGAAAATGAGGAGTGTGGAAAATGCGGAGTGTGGAAAAATTTATAATTTAATAAGAGAACTATTCGGCAGCACACAGCAACTTGTCTTGTAGTATTGGGTTTCTTAATCGACCGGTTTCGACTTCATCAGGATAAAACTACAAAATACAAAGTTGTGGGTGAACACAACAAAACATCCACAAGAATAACCACAGGATATGACTAAAATCCTGTGCTAGAAGGTGCTTTAGGGGCTTCACGGTTTTAACGTTAAAAACAAAAGGTAAAAGGTAAACAAAAGAATCAAACGAGTGAAACATTACTCTCAGTATGTTGTAGCTTAAGCATAGCATTTTTTCACTTTTTTCGAGTGTGAAAAATGCGGAATGTAGAATATATATAAAATAAAAAGACAAAATATATACATGCATAACAATTGTCTTACTTGGGTAATACTGTTATTGTCTGCAAGCAAAATATCAGCCTCGAGCTGATGTTGTTTTCTTTGGCTAGTTAGCCGTGAATATTGTAAATTGACAGAAAGCGTCTGGAAAGTATTTTTGGTCACGTTCGAAAAGGTGTTACCGTTAACACCTAAATGGTGCAAATCTTGCGAAATACGTTACTTGTAAGCCATGGGTAGATTCAATCGAATTTGCATATTCACAGATGAATACAAGTTTGCAATGATCTCCACGTGGTCCACACTGTCCACGTGTTTCACGCGTTGATTTTTTTATTACCCATTTTATACGGTGCTCTTTACATAGCTACAAAATAAACTGCAATGATCCATCGCTTTTTTAAAGAGCATGGACTGGACTGCTTGTTGTTATTGACTGAATGTTTCACTCGTTTGATTGTTTGATTCTATTGTTTACCTTTTTGCGTTCTTTTAAGCTTGAAAAAGTAATGTACGGTTTAGTAGTGAATACGCAATGATGCATCGCCTTAAAGGAAATGGAGTGCTTGTTATTGTTGTTCATATCGTTAAAACCTACTCCTTACCCACACTCCGCATTTTCCACACTCCGCATTTTCCACACTCGGCATTTTCCACACTCCTCATTTTCCACAATCTGCATTTTCCACACTCCACATCTTCCACACTCCGCACTCCTCACTTTCCACACTCCTCATTTTCCACCTAACCCAAACCACCTTAACCCGGCATATCATACCAGGTAAATTCTAAGACTTTTTTTACATCGTGGTGTCGGTGTGTTGATAACATTTCTCGGGGTGATGCGGTGTTTGTTCTATTTTGTTTGCATTGTTGCGGTATTCCGAAACTATAAGAGTGTAGAGAATATTTACATTTCGAGACTACCAACTGCAAATTTTCGATCACGCTTTGAGTTTTTGCTAATCATATTTTGCTAAATAAACGAACGTCTATTTGTTCAAACCTTCTCTTTTTTTAGCGTTACCTGTTAAATTAATCTCATTTGGACCAACTGCTTGCGAATGACGCAAAAATTAAACACATCCACATCATTCGGCATTCCAAGATATCGACCACTAAATTCCATACCAGATAAGGCACCTCTCAGATTTTTAAAAGATTCTTATTTTTCTGTCTGCTTTGCGGTCTCTCCACGCCACTGTACAAAGTGAGGCTGAGTTGATTTAAATATACTACTTATATACAAGTACATATGCATACAATTCTGTCGTTCTGAAATAAGTAGGTGATTATGTTGATAAGGGGCAAATCCAATAGTTCAGGTAGCAACTAGTTCCTCTTTTGAAGAATGTGGATTTTCCATCACAGGTGCAAACGTATCTCCGGACGCCACTTGCTTGCTTCCTCGATATAAGATTATACTCACTGTTGTAATCCGTTGAGCATGTTACTGCTATTATTTTTTTATTCTGCCAACAAATAAAAAATACATTAGTTACGTCATTTAGGTCTTTTAGTCAAGATATAATCGAGTAATTTTTCCGAAAAACTAACAAAATTGTAAACTTTTTAAAAGTCTGAGAGTGCTCATTCATTCCAAATTGTACAAGAAAAATCATGGGATAACATTCAGTAGTGTGCACAAGTAATATGTTAGCTATATAAATCTTTACAGAGATAAAGCCCTTGCATCAGCTATAATTCAATCAGACCCTACAAATGCGATTGTGCATTTCGTCGAACGAACGGTGATCAATAGGAAGAACAAAGTTCTAAAAGTTCTTAATCTGAAAAAATCTTTAAACCCGGCTAAACGCTTTGACTACACTTTGCACCGATTAGCTGTTTCTGCACTGCGTTTTTTAAGCGAAAACTGCATTTCTCTCAGCGTATCAAAATAGGGGAATTTTCTTAGGGATATTTCAAACAATAGAATGAAGGAACTATATGTTTTTTTTTTTTTTTTAATTTCTTTTTCTCACAAAGGTAATTGAGCAAGAGATCATTTAAAATTCTCTTGATTCAGAAGTATCTGATTTAAGCTCCTTACTAATTGAAGTCGTAGTCTTAGATTCATGAAAATGTCAATGAGGTAAAGACTTGTTGGATTTAGAAATCTCTTTCTTTATTTACTTTTATTGTTTACCTTTTCTCATACCTATATATTTGCTGTATAGTATAAATTTACTTACTGCTGGTTCATCAAAATGTACAAGTATTCTATTGCTACCAGGAGTCATAGTTCCAGTTTCTGTTTTAAACTGACATTGACTGAAGTCTCCTGATCCCTTAGGACCAGCAGGACCCACGGCTCCCTGGGGACCAACAGGTCCTTGACTTCCGTTGAAGCCAGGAGGTCCGATAGGACCCGGCATCTTGCTAACGTTCTTGACCTAAGAAGTTAAAATAACATATTACAATATAATTATATTCACCCCTTTTCGTTTTTTACGTATGTAGATTTACGGTGTACTCGTTTTTGTCATTTATTCTCTAACATAACGCTGTCGTCATTGTCGATCTTAGTAGAAGGCAAGGTGTTTGTCATTTGTAAAACCAGCGAATAGTTGGTTGAAAAACCACTTCTCTTAAGCTCATTTGGGAGGGCATGCATGGGATCATGAAATGGCAAGTCCGAGGCTCTAATGCCCACAAAGAGTTCCTCCTTGCTCCACCCTTGTGAGAGATTTGTTCTAACATATTTCAGATCAGATGAAAGGATACTCCTTTAATTTATTACGTTTGTCGCGATTATCCCTCCTAACTGATTGACACGCTATGTTTTAGGAGAGGGGGGGTTAGGCCAAGCTTTCGTAGCCGTGGAAACTTTTATACTTGTTTTAGCGTTATGCCATCCGTTACTGCATGTGGCAACGGCATTACTGGCGCTTTTGGAGGCATTGCTGTGCCTGTGATAAAGCCGTTTTCACTGTTAATCCATGTGTCAAATTACCTTACATCGTGATGTTTCCAGAATTTATAGTAACCCTCTCATGGAGTGGTCAGAGTGAGGTTCATTCAGTCACTGTGATACAAGGAAAACAGACAACATACCTGTTCAGTCAAGTTGTCTTGTACTTTCTTTAGCTGTCCAACGATGGTATCTCGTGTTACGTTCAAAACCATACGTACACTTTGAAGATCCATTTTGGTAGAGTTTCCTGCCAACCATAGCGCGGTAAAATGGTTTTTTAACTCTTCCCTCACGTTCTCACGGGTAACGTTAAGCAAGCTCTCGATTTGTCGAATCTTCTTGAGGTCCTCGTCCTATGGAAAATAACGAAGAATGTGTATGGCGAAAACAACTTTCGATTGTATATTTCTAGTCTTAAACACAAGAATGGTCTCTATTGCTTTTTTAAAACTGGGACCACACGATGCAAAAACTGAACATTTTCATTCCTTACTGTGATCTGCTTTGTATTATTTGATTTGTTTTCCTCGATTTGTATTCTGGCCTCAAGTTTCTCAGTTTCTTTTGCAACCTGAGTTTTAAAAGAGGAATAAAATTAAACAAGGATTCAAATGAGTGAATAAATAAGTGGTGAAAGAGGACGTGAATTATAAAACATCGGGTACTTGAGTGACATCGTTTGTGTTTAATCAACTTGTTTGATTGCACAGGTTGAGTAAAGTCTTGGATTTTAGAATTGATCAGTCACGGCGAAATGTAAAGGAGAAGATTGAACGGTCAAGCTAAAAACCAAAACCAAACAAAAGTCTATTGACTGCCGATGTGACGCAACAGTGACATACTTTGGAGAACTGACTACATGAACCGGGCAGATAAATAAATTAAGCGGATAATTTGCATGCGGATTGGCTGATTTGCTGGACTAAAGTGTTGCCAAGGAAAGTAAGTTTTTGTCATTGAATGTGCTGCTGAGAAAAAAAAACAAAAAAAAAAAGGTGAGAAACTAGGGTGTTTCAGCAGGAATAATTGGTAAGCTCAGGAGCCCAATTGGCTCTTGACATGATAAGCTTTGTCATGTGATAGCCTATTATCTTGAAGCGTGGAACAAGCCGCAATAGAAAACAAATCACCTTTTTAGTCATGTTTTCATGCACTCTCTTCAACTGCACCAAGAGAACCGTCTGCGTTGAGTTCACTAACATCCGAACTCTTTGAAGTTCTCCAACTGTAGAGTTTTTAACCTGCTCCAAAGCCGTGAAATGTTCTCGGGACACATTTTTCATATCTTCCCGGGTGCCATTCAGCGAATTCGTCAAATGCTGGATCAACTTGGATTGGTGTTCCTTTAGAATAAAAGATGATTTTATGTTAGTTGTGACACGCGCTTGCACTAATGTTAGCGACACTTGCAATTATATGAAAAGTCAAGGCGTCAGCAATTAGTGACCTACCGTAATTTTTGTTGTGTTGCAAGATTTTTCTTGCTCCATTTTAACTCTAAGTTTAAGTTTTCCAACTCTGTTTGTCACCTAAATTACGAAAATATATCTTAGTAAGTACTTCTATAATAATATAGACAACAGCAGATTGGCGAAGTTGAACTACGATTACAGATTATTTATTTTCAAAAGTAGGAAAAAAAGGCAGGATAATCTTCCTTATGATTGCGATTTGATAAATGTAAAACATTTATTATGAGCAAATTTCAGACGCATCTACTTACATTTTTCCTTAGTGATTCCAATGAAGACGATAAGTAGTCACCATGAGCAATTTTTTCATTCAGCTTTAGTGAAACAACTCTTATTTCACTGTTGACCTAACAATTAAAATATCGTTTTATTCTAGTCCCCAAAATGAGTGGGTAAAGAGAATTTTATCTGGCTTTCTCAAAGAGAAAACAACATCAATAACTAGTCGATATTGCATTATTACCTTATTTTCAAAATCGTTCAAAGATGAGTTCGTTTCATTCAACAAACTTCCCTTTGTCTGCCTTACATCCTGTCGAATATTTTCAAACTCCTGATCGACCTAAAAGAAAAATGGTTTTCTCAGAAATAAAGTTTTGTCATACCTTCTGTGGATATTTAAAATCTTAGGTCGCACTTCATAGATCATTTCAAGAGGCAAACGTTCTCCGACACCACATGAAATTCATTCATAGCGATATTTGGACAAAGTGCTTTTTTTTCACGATATCGTTGATAATAAAGATGAATCATCAAGGTCTAGTTTAATAACACTGTTTTCTGCGAAACTGATACGGGAGACACGGTATTCTAGAGAAGGTGTAACATTCTAGGGTCAGAGTTGGCAAAGTCGTATATTTTACCTTCTTGGTTAGGTTATCTCTTTCTTGTTTCGTAGTATTAACCGCTATCCATACTTGTTTAAACTCCATGATAATTGTTGTTGTAGAGGAGTTCAAATTCTCTAGAGCAGCAGCATGTCTAACAAGTTGATCTTGAGTAGACTCCAGGTGCCTAGTAAGATTTGTAATAATGTTTTCCTACGAGACAAGAACGGTTAACAGTTTTGCATGAGATACAATAAGTAATTGGTTTTTTAATAGAACATTGGCCAAATAACACTTTTCAAAGGAAATAAGGTTCTAAGTTTGTTCTATGTTAATAGATATTGAACAATATTTGCAATACTACTTTTATCATATATAAGCTGCTGGCGCGGTAACCATGTACATTACTTCCCTTATATATGCATCATTGTAAGCGGAAAATACAAAACAAAACAAATAAAAAAAGAAACGAAACAACATCAAAAGAAAGAAAAGGAAAATGATCGAAGCGGCAGAATATCGAGTTCACTGATTAAATTTTTCATTACTTAGTGAAAGTCAGCATATCTCACTCGTTTGCTATGTTATCTTGCACTCTCGATTTCTTCTTTCTTTTTTTTTTAAGTTTTGATTACCTGAGAGGAGACTTTCTCCTGTAGTTTGGTAGTATTGTATTCCAATATCATCTCCAAGGTCTTTATTCTATTGCGAAGCTGTAAAAGAAGTTTAAACATTATGACTCTGCAGTCTGATGTGATATACATGTACTATACCTAACAACTTTTTTCCTACCTTTAATAGTTGATCTTCTTGATCAGAATTTTTGTCATTCATCTTCTCCTGTTGAGATGAACAATAAATACATCAGACTGATCTCATTACAATCTTAAGCAAAAAAAAAATAAATAAATAAATAACACGGCGCGTTTCAGAGCACATCCATTACAAATTTTATCGTGTAGCTATGTAGGTCACTTTTATATGACTAAAACTCTGAAATTGTCCCTTACATTAAGTGACTTGAAGGTTAGGTAAGATTAAGTTTTCAAGAATTACGACTCTTTTATCCGAGACAATAGGGCATTTGAACAGTGTAAAAAAACCCACATGTACACACTAACTCGAATCCATGGCCATTGTGATGTAACTTTCAATTTTACTGTGTCCACGTTATATATTAATCTTTGTTGTGATCAATAGACTACTACAGTGCCCTCACTTCTTTGACAACCGGTCCGATCGCAAAGCACTCGCCTTCATAAATATTACCATACTAGATTTCTTAACTATTGCTTACGGTCAACTGCACGGTACTAATGTTATGGTCAAGTTTATCGAGTCCTATATTTCAATGAAGACCTTATTATTCTTATTTTTAAACAAAGTATCGATGTAAAAGAGCATCACCATTTGTTCATCCAGCGAAGAGATATTTCCGGAGAACTCCTTTATTGGCTCATCATCCGCCTCCATAGCACTGTTACTGCCAATCCCTAAATGGTAAGAAATACAGCGTGAAAATGAGACAATCTATTGTAAAATATGTTAAATTTTCCCTTAGATATTTCATAATGAGCTATCCAGACATAACAATAAATGAATCATCCTTAAATATTTGACGAACGCCAAGCCCCATGCATTTACTCCATTTATAGATACAAAAATTAAGTACAAACAAGATTATGAAAAAAGTTAGATTTAATAATTCTACACATTTGAACACGTTAACATAAGTGGTTTTGCTCTTGGGGTAGTCCAAATTAATTCGCTTTACGAAATCACCTCTTTTTTGTCAATCGTCAGTATTTTTTGCATGCAGACGGGTTTGAAGAAATGGTTGGAACTATAACAGGGCCAATAAAAGCTAAACCGATTATTTACCACTGTCACCTGAAGGCCTCGATTTGTTTGGCCTGGATATGTTTGAACTCGTGTTCAGAAGTACTAGTTTTCAACTGACAGGCTTATCTGGTGTTAAATGATTTTTCATGCTTCCATTTAACTACCAGACCGCTTAAAAACTATTTCCTAAAGTTGGATATTCATTTGCTCTACAGTAGTTTCAATTTACCTTGGCTAAGAACATCAGTTGCCAATGACAAATCGGTTTTGGCAATTATATTTCTTATTTCCTTTACAGTTTGGCAGAATTCAATTTGATCCAAATCAATTTGGACGAAGTCGTTGAGACCTTATGGCTTTGTAATCAGCTGTTGTGTGGTTTACAACGACTGTCGACTTAAAAAAAATATATTTAAAATGTCCAGAAGGAAGTTTACAGTCATACATGTTTCGTAATAGGCCACAAGACTACATCCTTTTCTCATTACCATTCTAATATGAATGATCGCATTTTTTCAATGAATGATGACACCAAAGCATTAGAATCGAAAAAACGTCGTTGTTATTGGTATTCTAGAACGTCTAATATTTGCTCGGGGATTGTTACAGATGTGATGATGATCTGAGAATTGCCATTAAAAATCAATTCTAATGTTTATTCAAATTATACTCCTTTGATATCACAATGACTTAAACTGTTTAGATTTTAAACATCTTTTCGCTTTGTGCTCTGACTGATGAAAAGAGCGACCCAAGGGTCAGAATAACTCAGAAACGAAACACCGATTCTTGTTCAAGAAAGGTCACAGGTCGTCTCGTCAAGGCATAAAGGAAACGAAGCCTTAAGGAGATTAATTTTACCCAGGGGCTAAATCTTCGTCATCTAGATTCTTCTCATTTCATCTTCTGCAATTACGAATATTTCACGTGATTCAATAACGAGGAAAAATCGTGATTCGCCATGTNAGTCAGATGTCTGTGTTAGCCGGCATACTTTGAAAAACTGACCGATTTGATATCGTAAAATCTACGAAAGCTTTCCCGCTATAAGTAGCTTGGTATCAAGGGTACGTGCCCTTTCTTACACTAGATAAGTCCTTAGACATTCCTACGCTCATAGGGAAGCATGAATGTTTATTTAAGCTCTTAGCCTTGACATGTGCATGACGCATTAGCAATGGGAATGGCTACGCCATGACCAAGAAGGGAAAGAGGTTCTTCGTTATGCAAGAAAGAACATTTGAAGGGTTTGAATGGGAATTTGCCGATCTCATTTGGGGAAGACAGTAACTAAAATGTTTAGAGTACTTTGGTGGGCTAATAACTATGGGGTAAAAATTTTCCATAGACAGTTTTCCACGGCATCAGCCAGTATGGACCCAGTCAACCAAAGCTTGCTTGACCTGTAGAGACGATGGCCAAACGCTCCAAACGCTATTTTTTAAATTACCTTCAATCTAGATTCTCTTTATCAATGCTTTCCTTTTTCACGTGGCCCTTTGGCAATTTAGGAAAATTGAAACGGAACAGCCTGGTTTTGCGATCTTCCTGTAAGTTACAGAGTCGGATGAGATAATATTACCTAGAGTTGGATGACAATCATAAATAAATGTATTTTTGTTCAGAAACCATTGGACTGTCTTATCAGGGATAGATTCAGCTGAACTAAGCTTGTTTTACTTATAGACAAGGAGGGCAAAAGTCTGGTAAGGTAAATTTTCCAAATCCGCTTTAATCATGAATCGCTCTGTCAATGTCTAATTTTTTTCACGTGGCTTTTTCGGCATTCTACGACTCGTTTTAGCTGCACCTCTTGTTAAAGAGAGAAAATGAAATGGGCC